AAAACAGTTGGTTATCTGTAAAATGTATTAATTGTCTAAAGTTGGTCTTAACAAAAAGCATGTGGCTTAAATGGTTTTAACCAATAGGTTTCTATTGTATATACAGGTTATTCATATATGTTGCAAAAACATTTATCTTTCCCTTGAATGATTGGCCATCGACGGAAGTTTCGGAGTTTGGCTGTATTTTTCACCAAGGATAAGCTGCATAAATTTTAAGTGGTTAATATCCGATTATTTTCTATTGTTTGTAATAAAGGACAGGAGACCAAATAACCCTTTCATCGCCGGAGTGTTAAGCTTATATCGAATTCTTAGACTCAGCTGTCAATGTCCGGTCGGAAATCTAGGCCAGTGGCCCTATGGCAGTGACGACGAAGAAGGTTTACGAGTGCGTAAGACTAACCTACTACATTATTGTCCCTGGTTACTGTACGTGTAGGGTTCATTGACCGCTGTTTAGTTACCTTCTTTCGCCAAAAATTTAACTTCTTTGCTTATATTCTGTGGAAATTGCACGGAGTTGATGTGTCACTTAATTCTGGTTCACAATTAATATTTCAAATGCATGACTGGTGGTATGTCTGTGACGCGTACTCGTCAACGAATGCTGTTTTTGTACCTTAACGGGCTGATGCATACTCAGTAGGCATAAAGGTTTGGTGATATAATGAATTTAATTCTTTATCTCGCAACTCTATTGTTATGTTTCATTTAATCACACATCTATATCTGTTAGTATTTATTGATAATTTGTTATCTAAAGTAGAGAGTTTTGTGTTGATATTCCTTGGTCAGAATTGATAATGATAATAATGGTGGAATGGAAAAAACGGGGGAAACACTTACAATGAATAGATCAGGTTATAAATTCAGAAAACCGTACAAAAAAACGTTTTCATCGCAGATTTAGAAATAGGTATGTTCTTATAGATTTTAAGTTGCAATTCATAATAAACATGACTTATACACTACTTAATTTATAATATTGTATTACCATAGTATGCTACTAATATTAATGAATGTGTATTGTAAAATACATATTTTCAACAACGAGACAGTTGTTCATGCAGACTACTACGGTGATTGTACTATTATTTGTATACCAGTTACTACGCTACTACGCAATGACGGATAAATCGAACAAATTGTTTGAAGAAGTTAAACAGTTTAGATGCATATTAAATAAAGCATCATCAAGAGGCTTTCTACAGATGTTCAATAGATCATGCCGAATGCAGGTCCTCCTTATTTTAGAAAGACTTACTTAGCAAAGCACACTCAAACGTTATGTGTAATTTGGCCTAGAGCTAAGATATTTGGCATAAAAAATTGCCTGAACTTCTTCAAATGGCCCAAGTGTACAAAGACTGACACGCCGAAAGTGACAATTATAACCCCTTCTAGCAATTGATCTTAGATGAGCAATCAAGGAACAATATGGCACTGTTGTTCTTGATTTTCAGTTCTGGAAAGGACTTGAATCTAAAGTTAAAATGATACTATTGCTAAACAAGTTTGCTTTTGTTGAAAACTGTTATTTGTATATTGGTTTGTAATTGTTTTTAAAGATTTTTAAGTTGCTCACTATTAAAGAATTTGCAAGATTAAATATTCATTCAACAAGTAAATTATTTGTAACAAGACCGAGACAGTAAAAAAAATAAAAAAGTCCAAAAACGAAACGGAAGTCAGTTTGTAACTTAAGAAAATGTACAGAGAAAAAAATATTTTAGCTTGTTATTTGACAAGGGTCTATCTTAGAACAGGTGTAAACTACATTCCAACTACATTCCAATCTTACAACAAATATGTCTTTTTAATATCGTATTTCATCCTCATAAAGGTTTCAATTTCAAATGACTAAGGTAAAACTAGTCATTTTATACGTTTCAGCTGTCTTTTAAAAGCAATATCGCTATTGACTTTTTATTATAAAATAACACATTAAGTGGATATTAATGACACGGCAGATATACATTTTTTCACTGGTTAGTTTCAATTCTTGTATTCTTTTTTGTTTTTTTTTGTTTTTTTGCCTTTATATTTTGTTTCGATATTATGCAAATTTGATTTAAATCGTTACAAGGTTTCATACTTTTAACTTTCTATTTTTGTTATTTTATTTCTAATTATACAGTGCACGCGTACTAATATAGTTAATTCTCACCGACTTTTCATTGACAACAATACTGATTTTAAAAGCAGGTCACCGTTGGGCTTGACGGTCGTTAGATGTCTGCGTTCGCACTTTTAAATTGTAGGAATGCGTTATGGACTTTTATAGATTGACTTACAGACATGTAAAATACTGGTGTTTTGTTAATGGAGACATAAAAAGTGGTTGATAAATTTCCTTCATAGTTTTACGTCTTAGTCGTTTCAAAACTATTAGCTTTTGATAGGGTGTTTTGCTTCTCTTGTGATTTAGGTCTAAGTAAGTATTTATGTCATAAATGCCTGTTAAGATGCAATTAAATACCAATTATCCCTATATCTTATTATATTAATAATATTATTCTCATTAAAATATCATAATTACACACATAAATATTTTATTGAAATAAAGATCAAATCTTAATAATGTCACAGATAATACTGTTTTACTAAGTGCTTCTATTCCATTTTCCAATAACCTATAAGCAGTTTTCGTGCATTATACAGAGATTATTATAGTTTTTAGTTCAATTGTGTAGGAAGCTATACGCTAATAGACACACTTTCGAATTGGTTCCTGGAAACAAACAATATTGAGAAATTTGTGTAAAGTTTCTTAAACGAAGAAACAACGACTTGCCCTTGGCGGGGTTATAGCCCATGCGACCGCGACGAGCAATCATCAGCATACTCGCCGATGCGTTAACCATTCGGTCATGTTGCCGCTCACGTTTTGTGTGAACACAAGTTTGGTCCGGTCTCTGTGATATGTCTTTTGGACATCACCACTGTTGAAGGATAAATTAGATTGTGTTGTTCCTGCATAGAACGTGTTTATTTACAAACGTGACCAGTATTATTTTATCAACAAGGCAATCTGACCATGGTCTTGATGTTGTGCATTATATATTATAAGCACATTGTCTCATGATAGTAATTATTTGTACCAGGTTTTTTTAAATCTTCAATAAAGTCAAAATGTTATGGAGAACATTTAACCTTGACCTTGGGGGTAGCAACCTAGATGTTAGGTTCTGCACATCATGTCATAATGATGATTATTTCTGCAAAGTTATTTAAAACATTTTTTCAGCGGTTCAAAAAGTATGGAGCGGACATGAACTGTAGAATTTTAAACATTTGACCTTTAAGAGTGACTTTGATCTTGATCACTTCTGCCATCGGTTTTAATGTAATTGAGTGGACACGAAAATTAGACATTTTTTTAAACTGACCTTTAAGTGTGACCTTGACCTTGGGGTAGCAACCCAGTTTTTGCGCCCTGCACATCATATCATAATGGTGATCACTAATGCCAGTATATATAAATTTTTAAAGCGGTTTATAAGTTATGGAGCGGATACGAAATGTAGATTTTTTAATAATTGACCTTGCGCTCTGCACACCGTCTAATAATTGTGATTACTTCTGCCAAATTATTTCATTTTCTTTTGCAGCAGTTCTTAAGTCTTTGGGCTGACACAAAATGTAGCCTTTTAACACTTGAACTTCCAGTGTGACCTTGAACTTGGCGGTAGCAACTCAGTTATTCCACTATCGTCTTATAAATGTGATCACTTGTGCCAAGTTATTTAAAAGAAATTCAACAGTTTAACAGTTATGGAGCGGACACGAATTGTACAGTTTTAATACTTGACCTTAGGATAGCAACCCAATTATTGCGCTCTGCACATCGTCTTATAATGGTGATCACTTGTGCAAAAATATCTTAACATTATTTCAGCGTTTTAAATATTATGGAACGGACACGAATAGTACAGCTTTAGTACTCGACCTTTAAGTGTAACCTTGACCGTAAGGGTAGCAACCCAATTAATGCACTCTGCACATCGTATTATAATGAGGATCAATTTCGCCAAGTTATTTATAAAAGTTTTCAGCGGTTGAACGTTATGGAGCGCACACGAAATGAACACTTTTTACACTTGGCATTTATATGTGATCTTGACCTTGGGCATAGCAACCAACATAGACAGTGAATTTATGAAGATGAAATCGAAAATTCATGAAGTTGAAATGACCCTACCAGTCTTTTGTAGCACCAAATTGCAATTTGTCATACTTACGCAATTCATAAGCCCATTTCTAATATTAAAGGCGTTGATAATATTAAACAAAACATTGCATCAACATGTGATAGTTTTTCATTAAAATGGAGCAAAATCCTTAAACCGTAGAACAAAGAAAAATTTGTAAATTATCGAGAGATATGTTTATAAACGCAAATATTATTCTTCTTTTAAATTAAAAAAATCACTTTCAAGTAGCAGTTTCTCTCTCTCTCTCTCTCTCTCTCTCTCTCTCTCTCTCTCTCTCTCTCTCTCTCTCTCTCTCTCTCTCTCTCTCTCTCTCTCTTTTAAACATTCTTAATTGTTACGAGTGTCAAGTATCATGTAGATGGTGACGAAATAACAAACAAATAGACTCACCAAAATAGCCTTTTCAACATCGTTAAATATTACATCAAAATCATAACATTTTCAGTAAAACATGACATCGCTATCAGACAAAAATATGAAAAGTTATCACAAAAGCACATTTTTTCGTATTACAATTCATATTTATTGCTTCGATTTATTATGTTTAAGCGTTAAAAGCAGATATACAGATGTGTAGATTGTGCCATCATAGAGATTGTTATCTTATTTCGTTATATAAAATAAGTTAAGTGTTACCATTTGTCTTCTTATATAATGTCTTTTATAAATCTGCCTTAGAAAGTCAAAATTGGTAAGCAATCAACAAAATATTCTTATTAATAATTGTGCTAAACTGTTATAAATAATAAATCTTATACACAAAATTATAGTTCAAAATCTTACTTCCGAAATAAATACTCCTTTCACCAAAATCTCTTTGCACTCCTTTGAAAAGACAAAATTGTAATACAGAAAGAAAGTAAAAACGACGCTTATTAAATAAATCTCTTGTTCTTAAATTTCCAAAAAAATAGCAAAATGCATGTAATAAAAACATATCAGTTTACATCGTTAATCCGCTTTAACATTGTTTAAAGATAGTATGCGTTTTATACAATACTTCTAGTAAGCGTATTTTTGGTCTAAGCTGGGGGCTGCAGGCCTGAATCCAGGGCCGCTAGCTAAATAATTTATCAATAAAGGAGACATTTTTATACTATACTTCTAGTAGAGTTAAAAGCCAGTTGCAGATTCAGGCCCTAGATTAAGGGCAGCAGGCAAACATCACACACACACACAGCTTAGCCTAAAGACAAGTTTACAAGCTGGACTATGATATTTCTATGACAGTTTTATGATTTATTGGCAGAAGTGTGCTCCTCCATCAAAACCTTTAATTGATATCATCCGGTTTAATTCCCCTGCCTGGGTGCTTGTTAGAGATCTTTATCACACAACATGCTTGGATAACTTGAAGGTTTAAGATGCATACTTGATTAGCCTGATTAATATATATACTAACAGTCACAAGAACATGTAGTAGCAAATAGGTGCATTACACTGTCCAATATAGTTTATTGCCTTTGTTTTCTGTTTTCCTTGCCAAGACCATTATTAAGATTAATTGAAAAGTGTGATTTAAAGATTTAAAAAGGTGGCAAGTTTTATAAAGATAATGTTGAGGAAACTTCGTTTTAATTACTGATTTTACTTTAAACTTGACAGATTCCTTCATTTTCCAAGTATCTTCATACTGTTAACATGCCAGAATTCAATTTATTTACTTAACCCACCTAGGGTTTGATTGTTGAAAATTCTCGAGATAATTAAAACACATTTGTAAAGCTGGACTGTAACATACAATTATTTGGCATTTGATTTTTATAATCTTTTCTTAATGTCCGTTGTATTAATATGCATTAGATGTTTTTAAACTGTATTGTTCTTCCTGTATCTAAAAATAGATTCATTAATGGAAAATTCCTTATTGAATAATGATGATGATAATAAATAATAACAGATTATAAATAGACAAAATGTAGAATACTGTCATAACATTATCAAAAAGCTACCATAAATAGAACTAGATAATCAAAGTAACAATTTTCAGCCTAAAATTTCAAAATTTTGTCAGTCCGTTGGAGGAGACATCCCTCACACACCTACTCCTACAAGGTGCTGCAGATATTAGAGTTTTGCCGTTTTTAAATTTTTTAGGAATTCTATTTCTGTCTATTTTATCGCCACATCTGCGTTGTTTGTGCCGTCTGGAGGCCGTAAAAAGTTGCTCCGTGCATACAATCAGGGATGTTATATTTCCAACCGTTAAAGATCGTGCAACACGATATCAGTTTTTCCAATTTTGTTCTTCCATTTTGGCCGTTTTCTGCTTGGGCGGTTCCAAAATTCCATTCTTGAATACTGTATAATCACCTTATGATATGTGGCCTGCTTAATAAATTGGTCTTTTGACCGCTTATCTGTGATGTGCAAGCTTCATAACCTCCGAACCCCTTTCAAAATTCCATTTTATTTGGTTGCGCCCATTGTTTTATCGTTTATGGCACAAGCATGTTTTTACTTTGGACCATACGCCGCTTTTAATAGAATGACACTAACGTGTCACATTGAAGGTTCCATGATCACCGCCGTATGAACACATCTGTGGATGTTTCTAAATTCAACATTTTACCATTACATGTTTAAATGTTGAATACTGTTTAAGCCGGTGCTAGGGGTCGTGGTAAGTAGCTTGCACTTTCCAGTACTGTCCAGGAACAGGCTCAATCAAACAGAGCCTGCAACATTTTCAATTTTTCCGTTTTGGACTTTCTTGAGGGATTCTAGTTCTCTCTATTTTTGGCTCATCCTGTACTTTTACTATAATACTGTTAGAATATCGACTGTGATCACTTAGAGGTACATTTAATAAGATTACCGATGCTGATCCAAGCTTGAGAAACACGCTTTCGTCTATCATGTTATCATCTCTACTTTTTCAAAATCTGCCACCATATTGTCAGTTCCCCCCCAATCCAACACTGTTATGTATCCGCCCCTTTAGAGCAATGTCATGTTCATTCATGAAGGCTGTACAGCTATTTTTTCTCAAGCTGAAAGTCTAACTGAATATTTCCTTGCAGGTTTACTTGAGAAGACCACAAGTCGAAAGTTCAGATTATGATTTAACGAACTTTAACAAAAGTGGCAAAATGATCCGAAAACTTAAAGTCCGCTTCACAACATAGTCATAGTAGGTTCTAGTTGAATATTTTGTTTCAATTTGATTCCAATTCTTCTTATTATATACTGCGGACTAAAAGTAGTTTCAATGAGCTAAAGATACATTGCAACACAATTACGACAAAATGTTTATGTAAAATAATTTTAAATATGAAAATGTCATTTGACAGATTGTAATTTTTCTTGCATATAAACCTTTCTACAGTACGATTTTCCATATCAACGTATGTTGCATTTCGCGCATGCGCATTCTGCGTAGGGCAAAAGCGCAGTAACGATAGAATACATTTTATCGTACTTAAAGGCTTTAAAAGTCGTGATTTCAAGTTGTCACCCAGAAATAAAACGGTCAGTACTTAAAACTTGAATTGATATTTATAACAGATATACAACATTATCGGGACTTCATAATGCAACGATCAAAAGTTGTCTGTTCAATGAATAAATAGCATGATTAGGTGACTTTGTCATCAGTATTTTAAATTAAAACAGCAGCGGGTTAAAGATCACATTTTATTACCCATGTAATATTACACAATTGGTCTTCCTTGGCCAGTGGATTGGCAAGGCGGTAAGTCTCAAACAGACTGACAAGTGACAGGTTGTTATTCACCAGCAAGTTTACAGTATCATTCGACCGGGTCGTTTTTTTGTACCATGTCATTGTTAATTACTTAAAATTATGAAAATGAGTAATCATTTTATTTATACCAATTTCACCAATGTTTATTGGTTTTGTAAAGTGACAAATAGTGTACGTGTCGTGCATTTCCGTGTATTACACCGGACAAAATGTGTGTTATTCCACCACCCATAATAACTTCGCAAGAGTTTGAAAAATTATTTAAATATGTATGTGACTTACAAAATTCTGTTTGGCATCTCATTCAAGTCGGATAAAGGATAAAATTAGCTAAAGTGAAAACTAAAAATGCATTAAAATCTTATATAGATTCTTTATATCTTATAAAAATAGTTTTGATATGGACGATTTCAACAACAATTAAATTGACTTCTTTATTTACTACTACATATGTATATATATTTCAACATTTTTTACAACATTCTCAATGTCAGCTCCGCTATCGTAAGGGGAAATTCTTAAACAATCGTCTATTCCATGCCTTTTTTTGGACAATCTTGGCCACAAAGCAATGAAGGCATCTTTTGTGTTTCTGTTAAAAGCGATTAATATATATGATTTTCTAATTTTTACCTAAAACTAACTCGGAATTGTCCATGAATTTCTCCTACATTTCTATATAGGACAAGGCTCTTTTGCCCTACGTAAATTGCGCATGCATCCCGTTAATATTTCATTGCAACGGACCGCGTCGTTGAAAGGTCTTTATCAGATGCACGTGCTGAAATATTATCAAACAAGGTGCGAATGAAAGTGTATACCGTCTTCTTTAAGAACAACACATTCCTTAATTGAAAAATAAACATAGTACGAAATCATTGCTTTGTACGAGTTGTCTTCCATTATCCGTCGAGTCTGACAAAAATATTCATTTAAATCTACTATCAATATTTTTTTTTTTTAATTTCAAATTAATGTTTTTCATCGAGTATACTCATTTTGCTTTCTTTTGTTTTGAGCATTTGTATTTATGCATTAATGATCGACTGTGAAACAAGTTATTTTATTTCATATTGATAACCTGATTGATAATATTGTGTCAGCTTTCTTGAACTAAGGTCCAAGACGAAGAAACCTTGTCGTGTTCAAAGCAGGGCTCGAGCAGGCAAATTTTCTTTTCATTTTATTTATAATGGCAAAAGATATCCTGTACATCTGACGGCAAACTAAATTCAAATGACATCAAATCTAGACAAATATAAGACATTTTGCACGTTTCTCTTAAGTAAGGTAGCTGGATTTTGCAACTCCTCTAACAATATTTTTATTGGAATGTAAAAATAATTAAGCTTGTGAACATCATTTAACATAAGAAACCCGTTATTAGTATACATTGCATGTCGAACAATCTTTATATCTACATATTGCTACAAGATCATTCCTTTTATAAGGGCAGAGTACAATTGTGTGAATTAACACCGTGAGTACAAAAGCCAGTACATGTATATAATGCCAAGCTGAAAAACAGAACCAAAAGTACAAAGAATACAACTTATTTATTAATTGGCTAACGTTTTGCATAGTTTGACCAAGAAATGATATGTATGTGTGTTATTTACCTTTTATTTACCGGTTGTTATTACAATAATTTGAATTGACAGAAATGTACTCGTTATTTGTTGTTAAGTTATGATAATAATAGTAATAAGTCTTATACTTTATTCAGAAATAGGAGATAATGTGTCCATCATTTAAATAATTTATCTAAATACATTAACGCGCAAAAAGTTTCATAAATCAAATATCTCCACAAAAGGCAGTTTAAACAGTATTTGAATAAAAATGGTAATCAGAAATATGACCTTTTCAACAATCACCTGTCAAAACATATATAACTGATCTTAATTCACAGGTTATTAACATTTAATTTACATGTTTTACATTACCAGGGGGAGAATTTCTTGTCACTTAAAATATTACAATTTCAACAATAACATACTAGGATATATGTATGATAAAAGATAATTCAATGCTTATACATGTACATATCTATACATTTTTACATAATTCGGTTCAAAAATTCCATTCTAGTTTATGCTTTTCATAAACATACAATGATAATTTCTGAATAACGACTTTGTAATCATTGTTTAAAAGCTTTAACATTTCTCCAAATACATTCTTTTATACAACGTTTGTGTAGATCAATATAAAGAACACTCTAGTAACACATGAACTTCATCCTCTAATGCTCTACAGATTAAACATTTACGAATAAAGGTTCGTGCCATCTGTCTATTTCTTTTTCTAATCTGTGCACCTAGACCCTTCGCCTTAATAATGCAGTTTTTAATAATATCTAAACGCGGCTGAAATTTTAAAGTCTGCAATTAAATTATATGTTCTTACTCTATATAACCCTTGTATTTGACAATTTCAATTTTGAATAAAACCATCAGTAAGTCCGCTTTAAAAAAAAGAATAATAAAGGGGTATTTCCTTCTTCCTGAAACAACCATATCTTATTAAAACATAAACTTTCAAACAATTCTTTAACAAGTTTAGCCAAAAAATTATTTTGGGGATGTATTTCTAAACCATTCAACATTAAGCAATATATTTTTAATATACATATTTATATGACTTACAATTACTTTAATCAATAACGTACAACACCTACTAATTATTAGATAAACTTGTGCGCACAGTTCACCATATATAAAATTATTTTGTGTTTGGGACCTGTCTCCATTGTTAATGTTTTCAAAGTTGTAAACCAGCTCGTTTTATTTTTCTAAATTATATAAACCCCACACCTTACTACCATAACTTAAGATGGGTAAAATAAGTTTATCAAATTGAGTTAAACGATGGCTTAACGTAAGACAAGGGAATTAGCTTTATATGATTTTAATTTGAAGCCTGACCACTTAATGTTTCACATGTTGTTAGAAAGAAACCCGTGCTAAATAAAAGACCGAAATACGAAAATGAAGTAACTACCTCAAAAGCAGAATCTTGATAATTATATGAATTCATAGTTTTGTTTATTTCTCCAGATTCATATACTTTTACAAATCATTAAAAAAGCCTCAAGAAACTTGAAGAATTTGAACGAATTGTAATTCATGACTATGCACAAATAAATTTACAACCAAGTTAATAATCAGATTGCTGCAGGCATCAGCGATACTACAACAACACAACAACAACAACAAAACATATAACCAAACAAACATACAATCAAAAAACATCAATTAACACTGAGTTTGCCAAAAATCTGCATACACACAAAAAGATTAATTGTCAAGTACATGTACTAGAATCTTTTAGAAACAAACATAAAAACTAGTCTGTTTGAATAAACTGTAATACTTCACTGGCTAAACGCAAAATAGTATATTTTGCTCAAGAAAATTTCGGCGGTAAATGTATAATGTTTGAAATATGAGCATAGTGTAATTATAATCATAGGGAAAAATGCATAATGTAAATTTGAATTGACATAACTACCAGTTTTCCGCATGCTCAGTGTAATAGATTAGGATAGAACTGTTATAGTGAAATATATGTTAGCTGTGTCAAAAGATGGGCACGTTTTATCCATTAATACAACTAACCGTGCACTACATGGGTACTTAACATGTATTTTATATAGTCGTTCATGAGATAAAATAATCTTTATATGAATTAATAAAAAATAAGCGACTTCTTTTTAAAGGAAAACTATTATTTATCTAATCTTTGACTGTACTCAAGACGGATAAAAAGTTCGAAACTATCAATCTGTGTACATAATAAAGTATAAAGAAGTTTTATGATAAACTATATTTCTGTTTAAATACGAAACTTATAGTATAATGAATATATGGTTCGTTCGACATTTGCTGAAGACATTTAATTATTCAAAGCCTTTGTTATGTACACCAGACGTAGCACCGTGCTCTTTGCTGTTTCTCCTATTCTCAATCCTTTCATTGTTAAAGGGTCGTAAAGGAACGTTAGAGTTTCCAGGAATTTTGGCATGAATCACATCTAGTGCTTTGATTTTGTCTGCAACGAAGACAGCAATAGTAACAACAGATGATACAAGCAACATGCCGCCTCCATATCGGAATATTTTCTTCCAGTCATTATCGTCCCCATTGTCCATCGCTCCTAAAATTCGAAATACGTACGTAGCATTAACATTCAATCTTAAAAGTACGCAACATATGGCATTGATTTCAAATCATGTACAAATTTTAATAAAAAAAACAGCCATTTCCATAAATTTTTCTAAATTTCTAAAATAACAATTAAGTTACTAAGAAAGGCCCAATTTCATTGAATATATTCAACACTAGAACTCCGAGAGTCGGATGTGTCGCCTTGTGAACAGTTTAGCTGTCACGAAGGCATGTTCTTCTTAAATATAGGTTATTTATAAACACCACTCTTATAATGTACATGTACCTTGAACTTAAGTGGCATTTGAACTGATTGTAACAATGTTACATTACGATTGATGTAGCTTGAATAGCTTTTATTATGTAGGAGAATTGGCCCGGACAAAAATAAAGTATAATATAATTAAAAAAGGGTAATAATTTTAAAATCATAAAGTACAGAGCACCAGTTCTTGTGTACTTCTCTTCTTCTCAATAAGATCTATCATCCTTTGAAGTTTCAAGTAAAACACTTTTATAGTTTAGGAGAAATGGCCTGGACAAAAATAAAGTATGAAAATTAACAATTGGCAATAACTCAGAAATCATCAAGAACCGAATACAGCTTTTTAAACACCGCAATGTATCTTAATGAGATCTATCATCCCATGAATTTTCAAGTCCATAGCTTTCATAGTTTAGGAGAAATGGCCCGGACAAAAATAAAGTATGAAAATTAACAAAGGGCAATAACTCAAAAAATAAGAAGTGCAGCGTATTTTTTTTGTGCACTGCATTTCTTCTTAATTTATTATCCTATGAAGTTTTAAGTCCATAGCTTTCATAGTTAAGGAGAAATGGCCCCGACAAAAATAAAGTATGAAAATTAACAAAGGGCAATAACTCCAAAAATAAAAAGTACAGAGTACTGGTTCTTGTGCACTGCACTTTAATTTAATGAGATCTATCATCCTATAGATTTTCAAGTTCATACCTTTTATAGTTTAGGAAAAGGCCCGGACAAATATAAAGAATGAAAATAAACAAAGGGCAAAAACTCAAAAATTAGGAAGCGCAGAGTAACGATTCTTATGCACTGCACTTCTAAACATTGAAAGAAGCATGCATACCAAGTTTGGAGTCAATCCCACATAGTGACTGAGTTATGCTCCGGACAAGCTTTAGGGGACGCCGACGCCGATACCGCCGACAAAAGTAACCACTATATGTCGCCTTTTCAAGGCGACACAAAAAACAGCAATAAAATGTGCAACGTTTGTCACCCCGTACAGCGGTATGAGGAATATAAAGCTCTTAACAGTGCAATATGAAAACGTCACCTCCAATTTCACTGGTTATAATTCCACCAATTCCAGATGACATTATAATGAGTCCTTCAACGATTTTTGTATTCTCTCTCCCAAAAACGTCCGGAACAGAACTGTCTCTGACGCCTTCACAAAATGCTTATGGAGAGAAAAAGAAATGATAAGATAATTGCACCATTTGACGCAATAATGAAAGATCGAAAGCTGTTGCTTTGTATTTACTAAACAAATAAGTGTAACGGGCCACTGAACAAACGATGTGATAAATCGTTGGATTTTGAGTTACAAAATAAAATAGTTAAGCATATCACTTGTACACAAAATACTGATCATTATTAACACTCAAGTGAACGGACAATAAAATAAACAGAAGGAGATATAGCATTTTTGAAAGTAATATTTAAAAAAAGATGAGAAAGCAAAATACTATTGGTATATTAACGTAATTGTTTGTAATTAAATTGATATCTCGGTTTGTAACAGGACAAAGGAGAAGACATTAACATGAGGTCCATAGAGTGCGACCTTTTAGAAGTCTCTATAGCCTGATTTCTTTTTTTTTATATACAATTTTTATTGGCTTCTAATATGCAACGGAACTGCAACATTTTAATGACTTTGGTAGGAAAATTACTTTCCCATCCACATTAATCAAAAAATATTTAACATGTTGACATCTATAACATATGTCGACAATAAGTAGTTCACACAAACATAACAGCTTAGTAGAGTTTCGAAACAAAAACTTTACCATTAAATGATGAAAAAAGTAGATTAAATGTTGTAAAATAGCCGAAGTCTAATACACTTGGAGCAATAAAACATCCAATGCTTGAGAGAAATGTCGAAGCCGCCAAAACACCAAATATGATAGTAAGTCGTTTATCTTCTAGGTTTAGCATATACAACCTGGAAAGATTCAAATAATTATATATATTAATAAACTTATATTCCGTGACATGATAATGACGAACATGACCTTAATGAATGAATAAATCCGGATTATCAATGAGAAAACAAAAATGTAAATCTCCACTCTCATTTTTACTTTTAATCAAGGTACCTTACATGTTTATTTGAAATATTTGTGTAATGAAACGTACCAATCGTGAGCATGTATACATTTGTGAAACTATGCAACAAAACATTTTTAATTTGATTTCATTCTAACGCGATTGCAACATTTATGATTGTCATTATATAAATATATTAATAATCATTTGCATTTTAGCAAAGTTGAATATTGTATCTAATCAGTCGAAAGAATTTCGCTTTTCATCTGAAATGAGTAGTTTTGCCTAATGTCATATTCATGCTGTATTACTAATAACACAAAGAAAATATTGGAATATAACAAGCTTTCGACGACGATTTATGATTGATATAATAACGTTCATTTGAACTCACCGACTTTTTTGTTGAAATGCCATTTTATTAAATAACCATGCCAAAAACGTCCCAAGAGCCAAACCGACATAGGGACATAAGGCATAGCTCAGTATTTTAGAGAGGCTGTCACCCAAGTCAAGTCTTAACAAAGACGTCGACAACTCTGCTTTGGGTGTTTCAATACCTGCAATTTTCAAAGATGATTATTTAACATGAATTGCTTTATTATATAGAGTGCAACATTTTATTTATTTAATTTTTTATGGGGGGGGGTCTGTTGTTGTTGTTTTACATAGATATAAAAAATCAATAAAACTCTATAAGGACTATTTGAGAACTGCAACCATTGCGCTAAAACTAGATTCTAATATTTTCACTTAAAACGTTATAAAATGATTTATCAATGCAATTATTATTTCACATCTAGAACTTTGACATGTATTTACCCCACTGGTAGAAGAAGTATACAATACAGGTGCACCACAGGAGTACATTTTTGAGAATGTTTTTCTTAAAAACTCCAAAAGTTCTCTGTACAAATGTTGTTGACTCGTCATCTCTCATAGTGAGTTTGAGCTCTTTAAGGGTCATACCAAGAAGCCCTATACCAACACATATCCCTGTAGAACCCCTGTATATAACATTAGATTAAATGATACAGATGTGTGTATAATTGATTTATGGAAATGAAATCCCTGACAGACAAAAGGTATACGAATTACAGGTATATGTTTGAAGAGCATGTTCCATAACTCATTCATTTCTTTTTGTTTGCACTCCAACGCTAAAGAATGAGAAATATGCGGTTATTTCCTGTCCTCTTTACTCGCAAATCAACAACCTTTTGCTTAAAACACGATTTCATCTTTCCGTCGTTTAAATATCTTAAAAGAAGCCAGCTGGAAAAGCACATCTGATATACATGTATATGTAATTAATAAGTGAATGACACTTGAAACATGATCAAATAGTAACTATAATCTCACAGTTACAACATAGTCAAAATTCCTTATACTTCACGTGATTTGTTTACTAAATAGGCTAATCTCATACGCTTGCCGGTTCAATTTCTGCATTTTCTCACACGTCAGAGGTCCCTTAAACTTGATATTTTATATAGTAGACTATAAAGTGTAATATTCCTTCAAAAACAGCCTCCAAGAAAGGAAGTGAAAGATGTTAGAGGGGAAGAAGGCAAGAGTTTCACCCAGTAAAAAATGAACAATGCCATTTGAAATTGGGTATATGTCATACGAATACCGTCCGATATCGACCGGATATCGCACGGCTTTTGCACGTATACCTTACAGTAACCGTTGCAAATCGGCTGCATAACGGATGACAGTACGATAGTCGGCAAATTACCTTACGAATATGGAACGGTGTGCAGAAAGAAGATGCCAAAGGTTTTACTAGGTTATCGGGCGAGTACCCTTTGGAAACTGTCCGAAAACCTACCGGACCACATAAGGTGAATGACCATCCTTCTTCTCGTAAAAATATTTTGAAATGTTTCTCTACGATCTCAAATTTTAAACGGTGCTCAATCAACTCTTCTATTTGGCCCGTCCCCGCTTGTTATATGACATAGGTATAATAGTGGTGCCACAATCGGAGCACATCGGACAACTTCAATTAGTCTTTCTTACGGAGTAAGTTGGTGCGAGTATAGTTTAGTATAAGTAACAAAGAAATGAAAACATAAATTTGTCAACTAGATAACAGCAAAATTGTAGAGCATGAAATGTATTCCTCTGGTCCCCTTTAAGATACTTTGTAATTATCGAATAGTAGTAAATGGTTCAAGGACCATAAATATGTTATTGCATTTATTGCTTGTTTTAAGAAAACGAAAGCGATGATTAATAATTTCAAAAAGAAAAACCAGAAAAGTAGGTCAAGGTTACGCGAATTGATGAAAGTAAGTTAAGTATGGCCATGTCTTCCGGAGCACAAACGTAAATTGTTTGTTCGCGCTAATAAAGTACTTCACTTCTAATCCCAAAATGACAAGTGCGCAGATTTGTATCATCCATTTTTTGTCTGTAACTAGTTTATACCAGTAATAAAATGATACAAGGTATTGTTTAAATAACATTGATTTATATATAGCACTTGAAGCTAGGGCCGTCGTGCAATGAATAGGAGACATTTGTTTGCATCATAAACTTAAACAAATAAGCCGCATTGTTAATGTACACAAAGTGCCAGTCTTTTTGTTGCATTTTTTATTTCATTACATTGTGTAAGATTAAGGATATTATTTTTTATATTTGTTGTGAGTGAATATGCTGTTGTATTGAGTGATATACTGCAATATGAATATTTTCTCCATTCGATGTGATACATTGTATATGAATCGTATTCCAGAAGATTTTTTTATCATTTGTATGCCAAATAATAAAACAAAACAATAACACGTAAAAATACGAAGTCAGATGTTCAACGGCTGCACAAATGTTTAATCAAAAGAAATTAAAATTTAAAGCTTAATTATTACATTTTCAAAAACATTCATGGAATCATAAAATTTAAAAACATGGCAATTGAATTTATGAAAAGTCATTACACAGAGACAGAATTGGTTTTCTAACCTTCACAAAGCTACTAAAAGCTTACAATTATTAATTAAGCAGTCTTGGTAACTGATAATATTTATAAAAATAAAATAAAAAGCATAAATAAAAAGGGTTGCAACATCGACCTTACATTTATCAAATACTCTAAATCCGCCTGAAAAATTCACAAGATTCTTGAACTTTAACAATACCTTAAAACATCCCTCCACTTAGCTGTGATCTTTTCTGGCACAACAATATAAATTATAACAGGGACTATAGATCCAATGAACGCTCCTAATCTGGCAAGGAATAAAGCCGCCATTCTCTTCGTTGTAAAATATTCCAGAACCGGAATAAACCCTCCAAACTGAATGAAGCTGGCCCCAATTGCTGAAATCAAATTTCTTATTAACTTAAGAGAGAAGCAGAGAAATCAAAAACGTTCAATAAATGTATCAACATCTCAGAAAGATAAAATCTATTGAGCCATTTAATAGAAATTGTACACGCTTTCGTTGTTGGAGTCACCTGTATTTCGTTTAAACGAAATGATTATTCATTTAAATGAAATAAAGTTGTTTAAACGGAATAGGATTTTGTTCTAAACCTACATTTCGTTTAAAGAAGTAAGCGTTATGTTTAAACGATTAACATTCCAGTCAAAATCATGAGTAAGTTACTTGTGTTTCAGTTTTTATCATTCCCAATTTTGAGAATCAGAGCTTTACATTTTAATCTTGATATACATTTATGTTATCTTTTGTTTTTTGTAGTTAGTCACACAATTCATTATTTGAAACAACTGCTGGTATGTCCTGAGAATCTCCAACCTGTCGTATGCAAACTGTTGCTTCCTATTGTAAAACTCTCCTTATTCACTGTTTCTAACCGTTCCACTTTACAAGAATCATTTCAAACAATATGATTATTGTCTTACTTACCAACTGGTCCATACATCAGGAATTTTATCAAGCCTTCGTTACCTTCCAGGTATGACAAAATGATAAACGTTACCATCAAAAGGCCAGCCCCAATAGCGATAGTCACACGATAACCAAGAATAATCATTACAATTGCCGCAAGAGCACCTGTAATACGCAAAACGGTTATCACAAGACCAAAAAAATGATAAAAGCCTCGAAGCGAGCTCAGTTACAGTGTCACTGTAAGAACCCATTATTGAAATGTGAGAAAATTTGTAACTATTTGAGAGTGATAATTACTAAAAAGACAATTTTTGTTGACTGGCTGCCATTCTATTCTAAGTTTTTCAGCTACTTATTTCAGACCTATAATAGAAAACAAGTTGATCACAATGTGTCCGCATGTATTCACCGAAAATTCAAGATACTAGTGGGAGGTGAATGTCCACTCATATTCGACATGTAAGTACAACATTCAGCCTGACATTTCATTTAAACTGAATATAGAACTTGAATGTTAAGCTCCGAAGGCATTTAGAAGATTAGCTCGATAACAGAATGAATATTTAGCTGTCCATTTGGCATCTTAATTAACTGTTACACTAGTAGCAGAACATCTCGCCCGTCACATTAACAAGCGAATGACTAGTTAAATGTTTGGCAAGCATATCATCGTATGTCGATATTGTGAAAACAGACGCGACATTGTGAAAACAGACGCTATACTATATTTAAGGTTTGATCTCTATGATATGTAACAAACTTGTATTAAGAGTTTCATTAGTTTATCTCAAAATACATTCGGCAAAATGCCCATGCGTACACAGTACGTGAATAAAAAAATAAGCATATAATACAGTCAAATGGTCGATGTCAATACTTTATAAAACATATATCATTAAGTTATACAGTATCTTTTGGCAATAAGAAAACGTAAACTAAGAATAGAATCTACAAACACTTAGTGACACAAATATCAACATGTCTCAAATTACATTACTTAGAGATTAATACACGGCAGAGTAGGGCCGGAAGGTGATTATCTGCCCGCAAAATGAATAATGGCCCCGATCGAGTGTCTAAAAAGGGTCTAAAGCACAAACAAAACAAAACAAAACAAAACAAAAATAACAGTTTTACAGTGTTTGGGATAAACCTTTGATTGATTATAAAGACAAGTTTTTTGAACATCGAATACTTTAAATAAATATATATTTTTCCCAATTTCTTCTTCATTTTCTGAATTTATTAATGCAATAATTTTAGGTATATTTTGTCTTTTCCAAATGTGTCATCTTAATTTTTAAGTATATCTATTTTTTCGTAATTCAGCATATAGCGAACATTCTAAAATGAAGTGAAGTGAAATTCATCTTCTAAAATAAAACAATTTCTACATTTCCTATCATCCTGTCAGTTTCAATTATCAGTCTATGTAAAGAAACTCTAAGCCGGGACAGTGTAATTCTATTTTTTTCAATATTAATACAGTTTAAGTACTTCTGAAATTTAAGATATGCAAAAGATACATAAAAACGAGCTCTAGTTTCTTTGTTTTAATAATTTAATACATACATCTGCATTACCTACACCTTGAATTAACCATATATCACTAAAACCAGGCGATTGTAATCAATATTTAACGCTTCAAACCCATGCTCTTTTTTGTTAGGTGTTATAAGTAACTCTTTACAATAATTGAATCATTCAATTCTGAAAACCAATTTTGGAGGAAAACATCATTTACTCTTTATTTCATTAAACCTAAAAAAAAACATCTGCATTACCTACACCTTGAGATAACCATACATCATTAAAACCACTTGACTGTAATAAATATCTAATACTTTTAACCCACGTTTTTATGTTAGGTCTTAACTCTCTGTACAATAAATAATATACTATTTTAACATATGTTACATCTTCAAGTTTTATAATTTTCGGCCAGTACTTTATTACCCTTATACTGATTCTGTATTTCAAACTTGTTCTTCCTAGGTCCCCATATATATTATTGTTCTGAGTTTGTACTCTGAAGCCTTACAATTTTTTAACAAAAATTTAAATGTACTTTTTCTAATTTACAACAATCATACGTACCGCTTACCTCTGAAGCATGGTTCTAGATTGGTGAGATTAAGTTATCAAAAATGTCTACTATATGTTTAACAGTTATACATGGGAATTTGATCACATCTATTTGTAACTTATATTATGCCTTCAAATCCGGGCTAGATAATGTTTCAAAAGCAGTTTTACGTTTTAGTTGATATTATTTCACATTACATGTCCCACTCATTTCACCCTTATGGCCGCTCTAGATTTTTTTTTAGTGTGTCGGGGGCCGCGTCCTGTGAACATTGCCTTTGCCTTGTTGATCTTTATTCTTGATTTTTAAAAGATCCACCGGTTGTAAAGACTATTCTTAAATAAGTGATTTTTCGGCAATTTCCAAATTTTCTCTTTTTTTATATACGAACGAAATGTGACTTCTTAGTCTGAATTTTCTGAAAATCATTATTTTAGTTTTCTTTATATTAACAGTTAATCTCATCTTATCACAATAATTCTCCAATAGCAATAAACCTTTATGTAAAAAATTCTGGAAACAAAGTGATCCCTCGGAAGCATTAATCACAACAAAATAACATAAGAATTGCAGACTCGGTTTGATTGAGTCTGTACACGAGAGATAATGAATAAGTGCAACATCCCTCACGTCCCCTAGCACCGGCTTGAGCGGTACTCAATTCTCAACACTTTATAGTGTTGGCATCAATGATTCCGAAGGACCAGAAAATATAACAACACTGAAGTGAAGTACGGGGCAACTTTTTACGGCTGCCACACGGCACTTGACACCTGCTGTTGTGGAGTACAAAATTCTGGAAACAAAGTGATCCCTTGGAAGCATTAATCACAACAAAATGACATAAGAATTGCAGACTCGGTTAAGCCTTCTTCTGTTTCAGATAGAATAACAATACCATCTTCCTATAAAGGCAATGCAATAAGAAATACTCGACTGTCATTTGTCTGAATGGCTAAAAAATTAAATAAGTGTAAAAGAATAGGTCGCGATCTTGTAAATGCATGAAGGAAATAAAACTGAATTACACTTACTGTACATTTGGATGAGCGCAAGGTACTCAAAAGAAATTTCTTGTAGCGTCCCTGAAGGTATATCGGTATCATTTGACATAGATGTCAGACAATAAGATAGTAAAACCAGTCCTCCAGCTAATAATGCATTGATACCTGTACATGACAGTACTATCAGCCAGGCTCGCAGACCACCGTTTGGCGGATGTTGTACTGTAGATCCGTCCTCTGGTGGTTCGAGCTGCATGCCGAAGTCATCTTGAATACTTCCCTCCCTTGTCACATTCACATAAACAGGCTCTGGTGAGTCGTTATCACGTGTTTCCATTTATCCGATGAAAGGTAGACCAATTTATGACTTATTTAATTCATTAAAAAACAACAGGTTAATCGAAAATTCAAAAGCAGCTTAGGTTTTCAAACAATAATCTATTAAACGCAGAGAAAAATATTTAAACGTTTTTAAACTACATGCTTTTTACAGCTGCCCCTTGCCTTACTATAATTTGCAAGATGATAAAATATCAAAGCCTATAAAAGTTTTAATGATTGGATAATTTATGACATGCTCATGCAGTACATGATTTATACTCAAACAAACTAAACTTTTCGACCCTGTCCTTAATTTATTCAAAGAGAACCTTTTTATTAAACAATTTTGTAAATAGAAAGCTATAAAATCTAAATGCATAGAAAATATAAGTTCTTTCATAGTAATCTCGGGCATTTTTATTACAGCTGGTCTAGTTAAAATCCACTTAAAACATAACAATGTTAAAATATCTATAATGTACAAAACTGCTGATTTCTTTGTATATACATGTATCTTAAAATATGTTTATGTTATTGCTGAGGTTTGATCAGAACCATTTAGTTTATATACTCTTAGATGTGAATGCCTGTTGCAGGGATGTCATTATTGAAAAATAGTAATATTTCAAAATTTAAAATGGTTGGAAAAAAGTAAATACATGTAGTACTGTTAAACAAAGACTCAGTATCTATACTTTACATGAAAACATATAAATTTCACAATTTTAACATAGAAATATACATGTAGATTTAAAACACTATATAGGTGGTGTTTTCGGATACATATTTGTATTGTTTAAACTGGTTAGTTTACAGTATGTAATCCTTGCCATGCTAAATGTTCAAAATGAACTTGTCCATTTTTCAAACTGGACAAGACCATTCATCATTTATAGGGAACTTTAAAATTATTTACTGGTTGTGAATGACAAACAGAGTAATCCATGATCAGACGGCAAAGGTTGCAGAAAATAGAAATTATGTTAAATTGAAAATAAATGCAATTTTTATGCCCTAGGCTGAATGTACATTTACATTGTATTTGCAAACTGTTGAAATATTTTTTGTAACGCTACATGTGTAACGTAATTAAAATAAATCTAAGCAAAAACTGCAATAACAAAGCAGACTGACATTGCAATATACACTCTTAAAATAATGCTTGTTTTCTTTCTATTTTTTAAAAAGTTGTCATTGTAAACGACCCGATTGGAATTTTAATGAATTAGTTGGGTTTTTTCTCACACAAGCTAAGTGACCTATGCTCCCATATTGCTGCAAAGCTGTGGATATATAGAAAGGGTTGAACAAAGTAACATGCTTATCCGTACCTTGTGCATGGTGAAGAAGGTAAAATGTTGTTTTTTTTATTGAAACGTTTTTTAAGCCTTTCAAATGAATGTGTATTGGGTTTGTTGTTTATTTGCTTTTTATGTATACCATATAAAGATGTAGCAAAATGTTAACAATTTTTACATTAGATGGTTTGGGTTGTTTTATATAAAGGTTCTTTAGCCTTTCAAATGAATGTTTTTTAAAATATTTGAGGATGTATACCATAAAAATATCGTAGATAGATAGATAATTTTATTGGCGTAAACAGTGCAGCTCTTTGTCATACATCCGTACTTTGTGCATGGAACCAGAACTGTGTGAAGAATGTTAAATGATTTTTTTTTATTTAAATGTTTATCAAGCCTTTCAAATGAATGTGTATTACGTTTGTTGTTGTTTTTTATGTATACTATATAAAGATGCCAAATGTAGCAAAATGTTAACAATTTTAACATATATACAAATTATTATTGTCGTTATGAATATACTTTATGCCAGTGCAAAAGAAGGGAACCAGACCTTTGTGATGAAGGTAAAATGATAGATGGTTTGGGTTGTTTTATTTAAAGGTTCATTAGCATTTCAAATGATATTTTTTAAAACATTTTAGAAACGGCAAAGGATGTATACCATAAAAAGATAGTAGATAGATAGATTATTTAATGGGCGTTAACAGTGCAGTTCTTTGTCATACATTTGCATATACATACAAAGCAAAGACTTCCTAAGTAAAAAATATAAAATCATTGTAAATAAATTTGGAATTATTTCTGTCAAATGTAGCAAATAGTAAACGAAGTGGTTTTTTAATTTAAATACAAAACATTTTCGTTAAAAATTTACTTTATGCCTTTTGCAAAAGAAGCGAAATATTTCAGATGTATGACCAGTGAGTAACACCAGAAATAAAAAGGTTTCACCAAAAGTAAAAAGGATTTGAGAAAAAATTGTAGATCTAATCTTATTTTAGCTTAATCGGTCCTCTTAATTCTTCCTCATATCAGAAGATATTCACTTGAAATTTGTATGTCTTTGGAATCATATTTCTTAATCACTTATATAGCTGCAACTTTGCATTGAATTTACAAATTTGTTCTTAATTGTACCTTGTGATCTGTCAGTTTCATTAGAGTACATAACATGCATTACCTATCTTTGCTGCTATTTTGAGGCACGTTTCCACCATGTTATATGATGAAAAGATAAACATATTGTCATGCCAACTGGAAATATATTTTCAGTTTATATAATTTCTTGAACAGTGTTTGTCAATTGTAAAACGTTGATATAAGTTATATATTTAGTTAACTGTATGTTGTTTTTTAATATTTTGACAACTATTTATGCCCCTCGCCGCTGTGGGTTCGAATCCCGACAGAGACTTTGGATTCGTTCATGTGACGTAGGTGGTTCTAGTCGGGTGTCTGTTCATACCTGAAATAATGCATGGAAGGACACCAGAGGTCTTCCTCCACAAGTAAAGCTTGAATGTCGCCATATGACCTTTATTGTGTCGATGTGACGTCAAACTCAATAAATAACAAAAGCTTCTGTCTGCTGATCTCTATAGCCAGAGCATCAGGTTTGTAATTGAGGGTTGGTTGATTGGCTAGTTACTCGTGCCTGGTGTTTTTTCCCCAGGGATTATTGATCTCGGCACTGAGTTAGAATTTGGTAAAAACTTGTACGTTATCAAGAAAGTCTGTTTATAGATGGATCGACAGCCAATTCATGAGCGAAAAAAAAGTCTGAATTGTTCACACCAATTTGTGGTCTAGACCTATATCAGGGCTGGGAATCAGAATCATGGAAATGACTGAAAACCAGGTAAATGTACTAACACGCTCCACTATTTTTCCGCTTCGTTAAACAAGATCGACAAGGAAAGGCGGCGTTCAATGAACGCAGCCCCCACCCGACCCAGCAACAAGCGCCAGCTTTCCCTTAAAGATTTCCCTTAAGATAAGATTTCCTTTAAAGAAAAACATTGCAACCCATTCTGGCCAACGTTCTTAACAGTTGCAAAGGAATTTACACGTAACTGAACTTTGTTAACATAATAATAGATTTGTTGCCCGACCAGATTCCTAATATTTCAACATTACCTTACAATATTGTATAATTATACTCAGTTCTTTCTTAAATGAGATAGGAAAAATGCGGGTGCCATCCTGCCATTACTAAGAAGAATGAAACATTATAGATGGTGCCCGAGATCGATGCTCAGTAAGAGTATACTAATCAATATTATAAGTTTATGTTTAGATGTGATTCATGTCCATTTATTTCATTGTATCCTGATTAGTTTGAAGGGTGACTACAGCCCCGAATGGTCTGATCATTGCGCACATTTTAGCAACAGTAATAACAAAACAAATATGATTGATGAAATTCAATTAGTAAAATTAAGTTAAAATAATTCATAAATATTTACACTGTTTAATTTATCCTAATACGATATTATCGAACATAAAGTCTGATGTTGCAACTATCACAACTCGGTAGCCTTTGCTAGGGGGTGTGGACGATAACTTGCACTTTCCATTACCCCGGTGTTATGGGGCATTAAGGATGTTCAATTTTTTTCATTATCCGTTATGTACAGTATCAATAAAAATCTGGAAACAAAGTGATCCCTCGGATGCTTTAATCACAACAATATTACAAGAGAATTGCAGACTCGGTTTGATTGAGTCTGTACACGAGGGATGCTGAATAAGTGAAACATCCCTCACGCCCCCTAGCACCGGCTTAAGCGATACTCAATTCTCAACACTTAATAGTGCTGGCATCAATGATCCCGAAGGACCAGAAAAATATACTAACACTGAAGTGAAGTTTGCCATTTTCATGTAATTTTGCTGTTTTAATGCTTCTGAGGGATCACTTTTTTCCTGACATTTTAACTTTCCTCAGGCTTCGTTTTTTTTCATTATCCTCAATCAAACCGAGTCCGAAGTGTTCATGTTATTGTGTTATAACTAATCACACTTCGTTCAGATTTGTATACATCACAACAGCATGTTTGTGATGTGCTGTAAAAAATTGCCCCCGTACTTCACTTCTGTGTTGTTATATATTTCTTGTTTTTCAAGATCATTGGTTCTAACACTTTTAATTGTTGAAAATCGAGTACCGCTCAAGGCGGTGCTAGGGGGCGTGGGAATGTTGCACTTTTTCATTATCCCTTATGTACAGACGTAATCAAACCGAGTCTGCAATTTTCATGTAATTTTGTTGTGACTAACGCTTCCGAGGAGTCGCACTTTGTCCAGATTTTTCGTTACCATACAACTAACTATATATTTATGTTCAATCCAATATCATATTCACCAATTACAGCAAAGCAAAAAATAGTTTATATTTAATTCACAATATAGTTATCTACATGGCTTTAACATTTCTCAAAGAATGCCAAAATTTTAAATAATTTATTAAAATTCCATAAAATTCTATTTTAACAAAAAGAAAAACAATGTCATGTCAAAACTATGTTTAATTTGAAAATGAAATGATAATTATTGTTTCCCTTTTTCCTGATATACAACATCAATGTAAACTTTCAATGATTATTTTCAAAAAATATGATAAACAAGATCGACAAGGAAAGGCGGCGTTCAATGAACGCAGCCCCCCACCCGACCCAGTAACAAGCGTCAGTGGCAAGGAGCCCAGGAGGATCCCAAACAAAAATAGGACAGTGCATAAGGCAAACCACTACATAAGAATAAATAATTAGTAACTGATAAGGAACTAACAGAACACAAATAAATGATGAATATTTGGCCCATAAAGTCAAAAGGCACAGGGGAAGGGGACACCAGACCCTGTTGGGGGTAAATAAAATAAATAAAAACTAGGGGCAAA